GACATTCTGTGATTCTGTGATTAGTGTGTTCAAATCCCTCTTCCCTATCCAGATTCCAGACTTCTCTCAGAAAAATAGGAATTGCTACAGACACAGTTATGAAACGTTGTTAAACTTGTGCACTTTAAAGCGCTTGCTGATTTGACTTATCTTCAAAGAAACAAGAATTAAAATATGAGAAGTCAAGACTTGCATGACTGTTCCTTCAGGGCCAATGAGAAGAGTTTAAAGTCAAAGCTTTGTTCTGCATCTTGGTATCAAAGATAACATGACAAAACCACCAAACTTCTTGAAAATAAATTTAATTTTATCCATTAGAAATATTATCCCCAACAGGTCCACCTTTCCACGAAGGCTTAGATTTTAAACAACAAAGTTCATGTTTTTAAAAATTAATAAACAGGTAAATAATTAATTTCAGTATTAGATTCAGATTCTGGTCAGATGAGTAAGAAAGCAAGCCAATATCAGGTAATCAGGAAGGAATAAAAATTATTTTTTATACTGTCAGTTAATTTTGGACCACTGATACAAGCATAGAACTTAACTTCAGAGTCAAACTAAATGGACCAAATATATGAAATCAGCACATAATCTTCAACAGTTCCACAGACTCCAGCAGTATTTTAATGGCTTTTGCACTGTATTCTAAGGTAAGTCAAGCCAACCACCATTAAAAAAAACAAATAATAAATGCTGTTGACTTTAATTGGGCAAGCGTGTCCAGTTTCCTGATATACAGAATAATTCAGCATTGTAAACAAGCTTTCTAGTACAATGCATGAAAAAAACTGTTCACTTTATGGTTCATGCTTTAAAATTTATGATTACCATAATTTTATTGTGCTCACCAGAAGCAGGCTTGTACCTGGACGTTTTTGTTTACTGTTTTTTATTAGGATGCCATTTTACGGATCATGTAGTTCAGAATGCCGCCATTGTGGAAGTAAGTGAGCTCCACGTCAGTGTCAAATCTCATGACAGCCTGAAAGGTTTTCCCGGTATCCAGCTGTTGGGGTCAAATAAAGTCATTCAAGCATCAGAACTTTACATGTTACATGGCATCAGAGTAAAACAAGGACTATTACCATAGTTTGCCATCTTAAGAAATTGTGATAGAATGCTAAAGTGAACCGGCACTTGACATATTTCTTTCCAGGCTAGACTTCAGCCAGCCACTTGAGAGGAAAGTGGCTTAAAACAAACCATAATAAACATGGTATCTATCTCCTTGCATTGCATTTGCTGCCTCGTTTAGATTTATTGTTAATATAAACCTAAAGGCATGAAAGCCAACCATCCTTTTCAAGTGGTTATACTAATTCTTAATGTTTTTCTTCTGGTTTAGATAAAACAGGAATACTAATTTCATTAGTTTTCTTTAAGGCCTAGTGTTTGGGAATCAGAAAAGCACAAAGACAAATGCATGAAGTGAATAAAACCATTATGTTTTACTGATGACTCCCCTAGTCAGGTACTTCCAGATGAATACACAATGTTCATCTGTGACTGATAAGATGACCAACTCTTTGGGTTCTATACTTTCTTCATTTCAAGGCAGTTAGTGAGGTACATGTAATTAACTACAGTTAGAAACTAATCCAGGGAGACCACCTGCATTAAATGAACATACAATAAGTAGATTTGTTTTGCTAACCAGAGGAAAAAAACCAGATTTTTATACTATTAGGTTATGTAAGTCAGTTTTACAGATGTTCCAATCAAGAATAAACCAAATTTTTATCATAGATGCTAGTAATTTTCCCAAAAGGACACAGGTTTGGAGACAAAGCTAGACAAAAAGCAAGCTTTCAAATACAGGACCTGAAGTTTAACAAGATTTTATGCTGAATATGCTTAGACTTCACTTTGAATGCTGCAGTGTTCAATATTCTGTCAGTTGAATTATCGATGAATTATTTTAATTTTAAAATTAAAAATTAAAAATTAAAATTAATTTTAAATTTAAATACATTAGTTTCTTTTAAGTTAATACTTACAGTTCACTTCCTATTGTGCTTCAAACATTTAGCTGAGACAGAAAAATTTATAGTGGACTTTGAAAGACTGGTCCAAAATACAGGACTGCTTTGTGCTAAATAGTTTGGGCATGCTGCTTTTATATCCCAACAGAGCAAATCCCTGTTACAATGACCCTTCACCATCTCAGTTCTTCTCCCTTCCTCAAGTGAGAGAAGCTTACGGCCACATGAAAGCACATGGTTTGGAGAGACAGTTAATTTTGAGTAAACTACAGTGATTCAGAAAATTAATCCCTTAGGTGTCTCATACCTTAATCTGGACGTTCATCTGTGGTTTTAGTTTTTCAGGAATGACAATAGTGTAACGCTCCCGTCCAGTGAGTCCTAAAACGCCAGCATCCTCTCCTGGTAAATACTGCAGAGGAATCACTCCCATCCCTACCAGGTTGCTTCGATGAATTCTCTCGTAGCTTTCAGCAAGCACAGCCTTAACACCCTGCAAAATACACAACAGGTAGAGTTATCTCCATGGTTCAGGAGATGGTTCAAGTCTTTCTGTGCTCGTAAGAAGGAAAGCGGCTCATTTGTGGTCCCCTCCATTTCATTTACCAGCGACTGGTACAGTCAGCAGATCTGCCTGACAGCAGACTGTCCAGCATGACTTGATTATACGTTAACTTTCAAACATCTTTAAAAGAAGTCTGATTGTCAAAAAATTACACAGGCTTTCAGGAATCCTGCACACCACTAGTCATTTACATAACTACTGCTAATTCAGTGTTCCCCTCCTACACTACAAGCTCCAGGATGCAGTTTAATTAATTTCTAAATTTATACATGTTAAAGCAGGTAAAAAAAAAAAAAAAAAAAAAAAAATCACTACTGGAAAAAAATAAACCAAAAACTTAGACAAACTCTCCTAAAACTTTGTTGAATAATACATACATTATTGCTCTCACAAATTCCACATTGAGAAAGCTTGAATTAGCGTTTGGGCTGCTAAATAGCATAGGACAGGACAGACAAAGAACGAAACAGGTATTTCACTGTAGATGGATTTCTGTTAGGCTCCTGTAACAATACTGCCAAGCATCCCTGCAGTCTGCATGGTGAAGCCATGCTAAATTTCATTTTCACTGACACTACTTTTCTCTTCCTGTTTCTGTCTCCCCTGCTAAGCGAGCTGAAGGAGGCAGCTGGAAGCAGACCCAGGATTTACTGGGTTATAGGAAGCAGAAGTAAAGAAACTGGCCTTTCTGGTGTAGCCTTGTGGATTTCTAGGTGAAGATCAGTCAAGGTTTCCAGTCTGAACAGGATCTATTAATATTTAAATAGCTTTTGCAACTCTATTGTGGCTCTTTGAGGTACCTGAGATTTCCACATAGCTCTTGCTGCCAAAAGTGAGAATGAGCTACCCAGTATGTTGGTCATAAGCTAGTCTTCCTGACAAATTAATGCACTTTTAAATACTGTCTTCCTCCTAGTTTACTGTAGTCACTCACCAAGAGGAATGGTCCTTTAGCTGCCCAGTCTCTGGAACTTCCTGCACCGTATTCCTTCCCAGCCAGCACAATCAGAGGATGGCCAGCCTGCTTGTATCTTTCTGCAGCATCAAACACATCCAGCTGGAATGAAGATGCCAAACACTTTACACGCTGTTTGGAGCTGGAAGCATAGTTCCAAGGAAACAAGGAAAAAAGTGTCCCCACATAAACAGCAGAAACCCACACTTTCTGCCAAGCGGCACTTTGAGGATATTAACAACACGGTGCTTTGAGGCTTGTAGCCTGATCTCACTCCCAACACAAACCTGCACCTTCCACTACCGCTCCCACAGAGCTTATACTCTCCACTGACATGCCTGATAGCACCATGTTACACAGGTATGTGTGACCTGCTTCCCTAGGTCAATACAGCTCCTGTCTCCTCATTAGCGTTCCTTTAAAGGCACTTAAGCAAATGACCCCAGCTGTAAGAAGGAAAGCCAGTTCTAATCCACTCTACTGTCAAAGAGCCTCGGTTTAGAGCAGCATGTGTACTTACAATTTCCCCAGAAGGGAAATGGACAGTCTGGGGTCCTTGTTTATCAATAAATTTGTTCACCAAGCGAATGTTTGCAAATGTTCCTCTGGCCATGACAGCATCGTTCCCTCTGCGAGAGCCGTAAGAATTGAACTCTCGAGGAGTCAAGCTATTATGGGAAAAGAAAACAAAGGTAACAGTGTTAGACTCAAGCAATCTATGCTTTAAAAGAAGAAAGTAATGAACTGGTGTTTCTGAGTCAGGTATGTACACAGTTCCCATCATGGCAGCAGCATCCATGTAGCTGATATTTCTACTTTTACAATTTTTGAAAGGAACAAAATATAATTAAAAAATAGAAGTCTGCCTACTGCTTGGTCACAGAAAGCAGGCAGCTTCCATAGTATTCTCATCTCTTGCCCTAGGAAACAGTACCTGATAGTGATGCAAGGATATAAGTCATGTTAGGTCAGAAGATACAATACAGTTCTTTTCTTAACAGCTGGTTAATGAAAATCCTCCTCTTTATTTATACTACCCTAGCATCCAGGACAAAGGTAGAGATACCACTGTGCTAAAAATCTAAAAGGCAGAGAGAGACCCTGCTACAAGTTAAAACTACAGAAGAACAGGTTCATTTGCAAACAGATATGGGAATGAGGGGACACTCCAGCCTAACTAGTAAACAAAAATTGTGCTGGAATGTGACAGAAAATTGGACTGTTTGCACTGGGCTACATCCAAACAGCAACTACGACATACAGCATCTGTTTTGTAATGAGTGCAGGACTATTTAGATTTCAAAATGACTGATAGCACAGGGCCAAAGAGTCAAGAGCAGTTAAGTTTCCACTAGATTACACTGTTTTAATCAATTTCCTCTCCAGAATTACAAGGTCTAGTGAAATATAGTTTTTTATAATGTTAGTGACATTCCTCAAAACACCACTGAAGTTGTAAAAAGTGCTAAACCAGAGAATAAAAGTATTATATTATCTGTGAAGACTGAATAGGGCAACTCAGTAAGTCCTAGTCTTACCTTAAATTGAACCCAGAGTATTAAACTTACAGGCTGGCCATAGAAAAAGACAACATTTTAAAGCAGTTTGGACTCCAACCCCAATAGCTTTGCCAGCTTTTGCAGCTGCACTGAAACCTAAACTTCTGGATGTTCTGTAGCTCCTGTTAGCGTAGATCTATGAAATAGTTGCACATGCTAGAGGTGAGTATAAAACAAATTTTTGCCGTTAAGGACCATGACCATTTTGCTTCAACAGGGAAACAAATCCTGATTCCCTTACTTATGAATAGACTTACTGCAAAAACTAGCCTGAAAGTTGTCTTCTTCCTCTCCTTCCATACAAAGGTCTTCAGCTCTCCAGGGTAACAGACATGCACACTCTATGCAAGTTCTTACACTTGATGAGAGCTGCTGAAACAGCAGAGGAAGAAATGCTTTTCTTTCTTCTTTTATATATTCTCCAGGTACCCGTCAAGGTATACAAGTACATGTGACCAGACAGCAGATATATGTGCCTGTAACATGGTATAGTACTTGTGGCTTTTTTCCTCTTCCTAATTTAGAACAAGAAGTAATGCTTACCCTCTGCTGGTCAAATAACGGGCTGCAGGACTATTTCTTGCTATATTCCCAGCTGGAGATATGTGGTCAGTTGTCACAGAATCTCCAAAACTCAACAAGACATAAGCATCTTCTATTGTTTTTGGGGTCTGAAGAGCCAGAGTCTAAAGCATCATAAATACAAACAAAATCATTAAAGTATGACACAGAATTCCTTTATCTTTCTTAAAAGTCCAAACTGCAAAATAAAGTCTCCCTTTTTATACAAGTTAAAAGAAAGAAAAAAAAAAACCTAACATCATTAAAAATTCTTATGCTCCTGAACAAAAGATGATGTCCAGGCTGTCTGTCAGCAAGTTCATGCATGAAGAAAACAGATGAGGCAAAAAAATTAGCTGAGGCTTCCTGTGGTACATGCACAAATGCAGACAAAAATCCAGGACTTCTGCATTTTCTTTTAAACGGTACTGAAATAGCAATCTGAACATCGAACTATACGGTGCAAAATGCAGCAGGCAGAATTGTGGGTTTCATTTCCTGTCCTTTTCCCTCACTTGTGTTGTGACTGCTTAAAAGTATTTCAGCTTAAAAGAAAAAGGAGCCTTTTCAAAAGTCCTGAAATGATGAGGAATCCTTACAATTTTCAGATTCACTCATGCCTTTGTATTCAAATAAATACAATAGTGTAATCCTAAAATTTGAGAACCAAGGTCTCAATAGGCTATGACAGATGCTCCCAGGCCCCTTGAAGTGGCTTTGCTTCACGTTTAACATTAGTCAAGGTCACTACACACTTGGGCTTGATTCAAAGGGAAAGCATGCACGTACCAGACCATCAAAGAAAGGTGGAGACTTGATGTAAGTTGACTTGGGATTCCAAGTATATAGTTTATCTGAAGGAGCATCTAAGGCATTCCAAGATTCGTTTACTGTCTGAAAACCAAACAAAAACATCCTGTTGATTTCTAAGTTTTCAGAAGCAATGGAATCACTTCAGAATCCAGATAAAATTACAAACCTGACTTCAGCAAAAGCCTTGTGTACTTCTTAAATTCTTATTTAAGAAGTACACAAGGGAAATTCTTATGACAACATACATTATGTTTGGGTTTTGGTTTTTTTTAATGATTTTATCTATTAAGAGAGTTAGGAAAATCCTCACTTCATTACAAAAGAGCTGCTCATCCAGTTTTCTGACAGTAACATGTTCTATGTACACAGATAACACTTTATAATTGTCAAGTGTATTTATCAGTAGTCTTAAGCAGCTTTCCTAAACATGTAAACCTTAAGAATATTTTGTCTCAACACCCCAGAAAGGCTTGCAGGAAGACATTACCAAGTACAAGTTTTTTTCCCCGATATGAATGCTATTGAGTAATGCAAATTAGTTTTATGTCAGCTGGAAAAAAAACAAACATCCATGAAGCTGGAATATTTAACTTTCTAATATCAGCCTAGGATGACTGTTTAAAACACATCAACTACATGTTACATTAAAAAAAAAAAATCATTAAAGAGCAATTTTCAGGACATGACTGTATTAAGAACCAATTAATTAAACAGAAGCTACTTAAAAAAATAAAAATCCCAGTTGAATACTTGTCAGAACAGGAGCAACGGCAATAGAAGGAAAAGGTTCATTTTATTTTCAGGATCAGCTTACTTAACATCTTCAGAATAGCACAGTGCATCAATCAAACTACTGCCTAAGGGATAAATTCACCTCTATTTTTTGGTAGACCTCCTTGAACATCCCAGGAATAACAAACTGACGCTCAACAGCCTGAATCTCATTTCTTGTTGGCCAGATATCTTTCAGGAAAATCTTCTTCCCTGAAGCATTTATTCCTGTAGAAAATGGTATTGTTATGTTTGTTGCATAAATTTGCCATTAAGAAACAAAAAGTTTACCACGGTGTCCTTTAGCTATGTGTTCCTTGTAACCTCATCAACACTCATGAGACACACTTTATTTTGCCTACAAGGGTCTGACAGAAGAAGGCTTCATAAACTTGGTGATTCCTGTACATATGTCTTCTTTTGTGATTTCCAATAGCCTCCCAGAATACTTTATAGAATAAGTTAGGTTGGCAAGGATCTTTGAGGGTTGGCTAGGTCAACTGCCTGCTGAAAGAAAGTCTACCAGGTCAGGGTACTCATGAAAGACTGTCACCCAGATCTAACCAAAGAGATGCCCCTGTGGAATCAGAATACTGGTCGGGCTTGGCTTCTCGATTTCTCCCCCATACAGACTCCTTGTTGCTCTGTTTCTTAACAACTGCATGCTTGGTATCCCAGAGGTACTCGGTCATTTGAAGCATCTCCCTAGGATAAATGTTTCTGAAGAGCTTAATTCCAAACAGTTTAGTTTATAAGCTGTGAGAAGAAGCATCCTGACACTGTCTTACCCAAAGGCTCATTCTCAAAGTCGATCCGGACAGTCCCTGCAATTGCATAGGCTATCACCAGTGGTGGGGAGGCAAGGTAGTTAGCACGGGTGTTCGGATGGACACGTCCTTCAAAGTTCCTATTGCCAGACAACACACCCACCGCTACAAGGTCTCCCTGTAAGACAAAGGTTTGCTGAGGTGCTTGTAGACTCCACACACACAGCAGGTCTGCAGAGCTGCACTGCACTGTGCTGCAACGTCAATGACTGGACAGTCACCGAACTGTCTCCTTCCAAACAATCCCAAAGCACTTCCCATGAAGTGAAAAGTGAATATAGAATTAAATTACTCCTCACACAGCTGAGAAGAGCTAGCACACAGTGTAACACAGCTCAGAACAGCACACAACAGAGAACAGCTTACCTAAAATAAGTTACACAGGAAAAACCACATACCTGTGTAATGGCCTCAACAACAGACTCTGGTAGGGGTCCACTATTGCCAATACATGTCATACAGCCATAACCCACCACATCAAACCTAGACAGAGCACAAAAATAATCCGTGAAAAAAAGCAGTTTTGAAGCAAGACATTTAACCCCTTAGCAGTTGGCTAGGGCTACTTTCAGAAGATGTACTGTTTTAACAAAAGAATTACTGCTGAAAACATAATTTCTGAGAATTCTCTATATTTATCATTGTAGTGACTGATCACACAGAATGAAGATCTGGGAAATGTTTTATCTAGCAAGATGAACAACAATATAGTGTAATTTATGCTATTGCATAAATTAGTCTTGAAAAGTAACCCATTTTCCTGCTTAAAAACATGAGTCTTCAAGAAGCTACAGCAGGCAACAGCCCTTTTCCCTCATTGGCACAGAGTCAGCCAGCACAACAGCAATGCGTCAGCACATGCAGGATCATGCCATACAGTACCTGCCGTATCTTTTAAGCTGTACAGAGAAAGAGTTATTCTATTGCATTGCTTGTTGTCAATGCTTTCAGTCAAGCAGGCACAGGACAACAGAAAGATAAGCACTCTTACCCTAGTTGCGAAAGGTAACTCATAACTCCACTCTCCCTCAGATAGTAAGTGACAACCCCGCTTCCTGGGGACAGGCTAGTTTTAATGTATGGCTTCACTGTCAAACCAGCTTCTACAGCTTTCTTAGCAAGCAATCCTGAAAAATGCAAAGGACAGTTGCAGTTCTTCCTGGAAGCGGTGCAGTTTGGTGGATCAAAAGGTTAACACAAGTACCATCAAATAACCGGAAAACAGAAAAGGCTCCATTTCCAGCAATGAAATGGTACAGTGAGTCAACAGCACTAATCCCAGAATAACCAGCTAGAGCTCAAGTGCTCTGTTGAACTGTAGATCCAGTCTGCAATTTCTGCTCCACTGGAAAGTTGCTAGAAGTTGTATTCAAGATGCACTCACACTGGGGCAGCACATAGACATTAAAAACTCAGAAGACTATTTGTAAGACAAGTGTCTCATAGAAAATGCAAAGAAGAATTGTCAGCTTCCCACTTATGGTGGTGTAGTGACCCAATGCTGAAATAACTGCCAACACATGCCTTGCTGCCCTCAGAAGCAGATGGGTGTCACAGCATCAACTCTGGCCCTTGTCACAAACAAGCTGTCTCACAATCTACAGCTTGTTGCAGGAGTGCTGTTTTACACCCCTGGATTTCTCACATGCATAGAGATGTTTTAGTGGAGCTATGCATTACCAGAAACATGTCTACCCTGACTTTCTTCCTTTCTATTGTCCATATATAGATGAATGTTCAGAAAACAAGTCCCTCCAGCCCTTTCCCAGAATGGACATAAAAGAAGTAGCAGCTACGCAAACTATGCAAAACTTCACATTCCCATCCCCCATTCTCTCTCTCACACATCCACTTAATAGATAAGAAAATAAAAAACAGCTCTGCTTTGATCCAACATGATCTCTAACAGGAAGATGTC